GGTGTATGGGTTTGGGGCCCCGGGGGGGTTGCCGGGGGCTGGGCTCTTGGGGGTACCTGGGCAGGGGGGCACTGCTTTCCCTCTGGGGAGGGCCTGGGTGGTTCTGGGGGATGTCTGCTGGTGGCTGCATGCAGGCCCTCAGGTGGTCTGTGGCGGCGGTCGTGGGCCACCGATCTGGTAGCCTGGCTGTGCTGGTGTGGGTTCGGGGTGGGCGCGGGGGCTTGGGGTTCTGGGGGCTTATCGCCCCCGGGCTTGGGCCTGTGGGGTTCGGGGATCTTGGGCTCTGGCGGGCGGGTTGCCGGGCTCTGGGCCGGCTTGCGCTCTGGTGCCCGGTTCTGGGCGGGGGCCTTCGGCTCGCTGGTGGGTTGTGGGTTCATGGGCTGGGGGGTTGGGTGTTTGGGGGCGTGACCAGTGGCCCCTAAGAGGGGGTAGTTTGACCCAGCCTAGGTGTCTAGTGTGCTATGTGTTTTGAGAGATGTCCGAATGAGGGGTGGGTGTAGTATTTCTTCTGGGGTGGGGATGGGGTGGATGTCCTTGGGGGCGGCCCGGGACTGTGCATGGCTGGTTGGCTGGCCCCTTTCCTGTGGTGGGGGCTCGCTCCCGGTGCTTCCTGGCACTGTCGGCGGTTGGGCGGGCGCTCTTGGCCGGGTCGTCCTGGTGGGGTTTGGCTCCATCTGGTAGCGGGCTGACTGCAGTCTGTGGGGGTCCTGGTGGCCCTCGGGTGTGTAGGCTGCTGGTGCGGCTTATGGCGGCCCTCGGGGCTCTGTCCCTCTCTGGTCTGGAGCTCAGCGGGCCTGGCGGTCGGTCCAGATGGAGAGGTGTCTTGGCCTCAATCCCTGGGTGGACCTTGGGGGGCTGGGGGGGGGGGGGGGGGGCTGTTGGGTCAGTGGGGGAGCTGACTCCCTGTGGGAGCATTTGCTCTCACAGTTATTTCTCCCCATCCCTCACCATGCACCTCCACCCTCTTCATTTCAATTCCACACATTTAGGGTTGTTTGGGCTCGGGTGTGCTGCAACAATTTTACATCTTTGTTGACCATAGCCACCTGGGACTCAATTTTATTGTACACCTTAGACATTCATTCATAACATCCTCATGACATTCATATATAGGAATTTGAAGTGGGCACATGGCTATGGGTGGTGGGATGACCTTACTCTCACCCCCTGTGCCTGTGCTCACTTACAACGGTTACATTTAGACACTAGGGTTGGATAGAGTTGGGGTGGAGGGGAAACTGGCACCTTGCCAGCCTTTGCTCCTTCTTCTTTCCTTTTTAATGGCACTCTACAACAACACACATCAACAGCACATCTAGGGGTGGGGGTGTATGTGTCGGGGTCTTATTTTTATTTATTTATTTATTTTTTTTCTCCTCTTCCTACCCACCCAGTTCCCTGACTGCCATTCCGGGGGTGGGGTCCGGGAGAAGGGCAGGCCGTCAGGTGTTGACCAGGACTATGTGGGGGTTCGGGGTCTGGGGGTTGCCGTGGGCGGTGCTGGCGCTGTGCTCTCCCTGGGGTTATTTGGACCCCCTGAGCTTGGCTCTTGGGTGCCATGGTTGGCCCGCTGACCGGGGTGGCTGCCGGGGCCTGGCAGGCGGTCGGCTGGGGGTGCGTGCTTGGTTGTTGACGGTGTGTGGGGGTGGTTGGTGGCGTGTCCTCTTCATGGTGGGGGGGTGTCCTGTCGGCGGGGCATGGCCTGGGCCGGTTCTGGGGTATTGGCTCTTCTCCGCTCAGGAATGAATGGGTTTACCTCCTGGGTTTGGGCATGGGCTGCCCCCTGTAGAGGGCGGGTACATGTCTTGGACCTGGGGGGTTTAGAGTGTGTATCGGGAATAAGAATGAAATGTATCGTTATTGTATGTCTTTGAGTGAATGAATGTGAGATTGAGGTTGGGATAGTGTGATTGTGTCTGTGTATGAATGGATATTTGTTAGGCCAAGACTCGGACTGCCCCCTCTTTGATACAACTGGGGGTGCTTGGCATCGCGCCCCTATCGCGCGGCCCCCTGGTGGGGTGTGCCCTTGCCTGCCGGCGCGCTTGGGGCCCTTGGTATCGGGGGCTGGGCGCTTGGGCGTGTGTCGGCTCGGCCTGGTGTCTGCCTGGTGGGGCTCGGGTCCTCTGGCCCTGTCAGGCCTTGGCCTGGGTGGTGTGAGTCCTCGGTGCCCGGGCCTCGGTGCCTGGACCTGGACCTACATCGGTGCGGCGGGTGCCGACGGGGGCCTATGAGTTTGTCGCTGTTGGCCCCGGGGGGTCACTGTATGTGGTTGCTGGTGGGGATCTTCCGGTTCTCCCCTGTGGTCCGTTCTGGGGGGTGGGTGAGTGGTTCGTCCTGTGTGGGTGGCTCTGGGGGCTCCGCGGTCGGGGTCCCTCCTGGGGTCTTGGACTCTGGTCCCCCCTTTTTCATCTGCCTCTGGTCTTGGGGGTCGGGTCTCTGCTGCTTCACAGTTACTAATAAATGTTCTATTAGAGAAGCCTTATACACTTATGCATGCTCACAACCACACACAAATAGAAGCAGGGATGCTTATTTAGGCTTTATATGTAGATATATAGATATGTATGTGAGTGTATATTCATGTGTATGTATGTATGTATGTATATAGGCGTAGGTATGGGTATATATATTTATGGAAACTTACTGCAAAGCCATGAATATTTTAAGTTCTTTATACATATGTATTTTGTTGCTATGTTTTGTCATGTTCTTTGCAGGTGAACAGACAGTGGCCGGGTGTTTTGACGTGTGCTCTATTTGTATATATTTCTTATATTTTGGAGTCTTACTTTGTCTTTTCTTTCTTTCTATCCTATTGGAAAAAAAAAAAACTATTGAAAAAAAAAAAAAAAAAAACCTACACTAGATAGTCACTATAATAAATATTTCATAATAATGGTGTGGAAAGGATGGCTGTAAGGGGAGAAGGGAGGCCATCAAAAAAAAAACAAAAAAAAAAAAAAAAAGGAATTATCAATACAGGCATTGATGACAACACTAGAGTTGTTCCTAATGTGTTGAGCTGAAGAGGATCTGTCAAGGTAGGGGTCCAGTACGAAGTGGTATGAAGTGTCGCCACTTTTTTAAAGAAAGACAGGCTGTCCATATTCAGGGCATATTCAATAGAGCGGGAGGTGTAGAAAATAACTCCCCAACCACGATCAAGTACCGTCTAAATACCGTTTTTAATCATAATGGCTGTACCTCTCACTTTAGGGATGGAGGAATGATACACATCGTCAGTCCTCCTACGTTTTAAACGTGTATAAAATGCATCTTTCAAATGTATCCTGCAAGAATATGATATCAGGTGTCAATGTTTTAAGCTGAGTGGATCTTGCTTCTGTTTAAACCTCATACATTCAGCTAACAAAGGTTATATTTCTGTAGAGCACGTCAAAAGAAAGTAAAGAATGTTATCACACTCTCAGTGTTTGAACCACAAACTACTGCGCTTATTTTTCATGTTATGCTCACAATGTAAACCAACAGTTTTACCAATTCCCCCTTCTCCCTGCCTGACGGGGACAAAAAGCAATAATCTGTAAAAATATCAAGTTTTGATATCACCAGTAAAATACTGATGCTTTGGAAAATGTTGTTATTTTCTTGAGATTCTTTCACATTTAGGAAAAACACGACGCTGGAAAGCCAAGCTAAAAACTAATTAAATGTAAACGTTAGCTCCTACCTGTGAACTAGTTGTGTGTTCTCTTGTTTGAGTTTAGACTTCACGTCACTATTGACCAGACTGTCACTCTCCAGTTCGGTTACCTTTTTCTCCAGATAACTGACCTGAGAAAGAAACAAATACACAACCTTTTCATAATCCAAATAAGATTTTAGTTAGTTTGATATCAAACAAGAAATACTATGGTGGCTGACGGGTGCAAACGGCCAGCAAACACATGTATGATGCAAACTCAAAAACACGCAAACACACACAAAAAAACTAACGTAAACACAAAAAAACAAACACAAAAAACAAACACAAAAAAAAACACATGCAAACACAAAACACAAACAAAAGAAAACAAATGCAAAGACAAAAAACAAACGCAAACACAAAACACATGCAAACACAAAAACAAACGCAAACACAAAAAACATGCAAACACAAAAAACACATGCAAATATGAAAAAACACATGCAAACACAAAAACACACGCAAACACAAAAAACACATACAAACACAAAAAACATGCAAAAACAAAAGCAAACACAAAAAACACATGCAAACACATGCAAACAAAAATAAAACATTCAAACACAAAAAACACATGCAAACACAAAAACATTGCAAATGTTGCAACCATTAAAAACAGCTGCAAACAGTGAAAACATCTGCAAACAGTGAAAACATCTGCAAACAGTGAAAACAACTGCAAACTCGCGCCACAAAATGGAAGTGCTCCAGACCACTAGGGGCAGTCAAACAAAGAACAAATCATAAAAGAAACTTGGAGGAAGAAGATATCTAGAGATATTTAAGATATTTACAGTTGTCAAACGTCTTTATTCCTCCAAGTTTCTTTTATGATTTGTTCTTTGTTTGAATGTCTCTAGTGGTCTGGCGCACTACCGTTTTGTGGAGCAAGTTTGCAGTTGTTTTCACTGTTTGCAGTTGTTTTCACAGTTTGCAGTTGTTTTCACAGTGTGCAGTTGTTTTCACAGTTTGCAGCTGTTTTCACAGTTTGCAGTTGTTT